CTCTAGTGGCTTCTCTCCTCCGCCGGGTTGGCCCCACTGTGCAGGAGGTAGCACCTCCACCAGGGACATTTCCTTGGCAAGCAGCCACTCTTCCAGTTCCTCCAACAACCAGGTGCTTAAGGCCATCCCTGGTGACGTGCATTTACTTCTCAGCCAGTGCTGCTCCAGGCAGCCTTCCAGAGGGCCTGGATCTGAATCATGCCCAAGCCAGAGGCTAGGATGGGGGAACACAGGGTGGGCAGGAAGCTCCTCTCCTTCCTGGAACAGGACCCAGCCTTGAACCTGCCTCTCACCTCTCTACCCGGCTGCTCTTCTCCCAGAGTGGAGATGACTGCTCCAGGCTTGATAATTGAATGGTGGGACAAAGCAGGAACCCCGGCCTCCCGCTTACATACCTCCTGGGCGGGAAGATCACTACCTTCCCAGGGGCAACTCTTTCCACCTTCACGGAATAAACGTCTGGAAGGTCTGGGCAGAAGATTGGGATGTGTCCAGCTTGCCTCTCCTCACCCCTGGGGCCCGGCTGTGCCCTGCGCAGGCTCTGCCCGGCTATGAGGCTGTGGTGGGACCCCTCTGTGCTGTTTCTCTCGGGCTGAGTCCCTGCATTGTCCTGACAACTTATCTGCTAAGTGGCAGAGCTCACTTGCGGGACCGCCACCCTCTTCCAGGGATTGTCTGTATTTTGTTTGTTTGTTTGTTTTTTAAAGGGATGGGGGATCTCACCATGTTGGCCAGGCTGGTCTTGAACTCCTGACCTCCAGTGATCCACTCCCCTCAGCCTCCCAAAGTGCTGGGATAACAGGCGTGAGCCACTGCACCCGGCGGATTGTCTTGTCTTTTATGTAGGTAGCCAGACCAGCTCCCCTTCCTGGGCTTGGGGCTATGTGTGTACCCTCAAACAACTCCTCTTAGCTCCCCTGTTGCCACACACACCCCAGAGATAGCCACTTTTTTCTGCAGTGGGATACATGTTGAACAAAATAGGGCTTAAGTCAGAGACCTGCGGCTCACCACTAGACACCACAGGCCTGTGGTTTCTTACCCTGAGGCACCTGCCTCATGCAGGCTCTAGAGACCCAGAGAGTAGCCAGCCCTGGGGAGCTTTTCACGACACTGGGTTTTGGCTCTGCGGGGACAGAGGCCCAACCTCTAGCCTCCTGGGCTGGGGGAACCACCCAAACAGGAGTTTTCTTCCCTGCTCTGTGCTCTGTGACCGTGGGCCAGTCACTCCCCCTCCCTGGGCCTTGGTTTTCCCATCTCTAACATGGGGGCAGTAATCCCTGTCTTCTGGCGTTAGGAGAGGATTAGAGATTAGAGGTGTGTAGGACATGGGCCCATAGTAGGGGTATCCCAGCATGGGGACAATGCCTGATGCCTTCCATCCCAGCCTGGGTCTGTTGCCTCCATTCTCCACCCCTAGATGGAGCTCATGTGTGAGGGGCCCCCTGGCTCTGACACAGCCCCATACAGCCCCTGTGAGCTGGTCCTTCCATCAACCCCCAAAGGCGCTTACCCAGGTGCCCAGCCCCGGACCCACCCCTGACCACACCCACCTGTACCCACAGCACCTGCGCCTGTCCCTGAACGGCCACGGCCAGTGTCACGTACAGCACCTGTGGTTCCAGTCTGTGCTTGACATGCTCCGCCACTTCCACACACACCCCATCCCACTGGAGTCAGGGGGCTCGGCCGATATCACCCTTCGCAGCTATGTGCGGGCCCAGGGCCCCCCGCCAGGTAAGATGCTACCACCTGGCCCGTGTGATTACTCAAGAAGACCCCTTTGATTACTCAAGAAGGTGGCCCCTGGGGTAGGATGAGCCCCAGGTCTCCTGTCCCACAGCCTCAGCTGTGTCCCTCCCACCCTAGCCTAGCCACAGCAGTTGCAAGCAGTCAGGTCAGCAGGAGTGGAGGCAGAAGTGGCAGCCCTGAGGCAGCCAGGTCCCTAATGATTCCTTGCAAGGGGAACGGGGTGCCCAAGAGCAGTGCAGGTGGGTGTATGGGGGTGGGGACGGGGGTGGATTGGGGCAAATGGGATGAAAGGAGCTGGGGGCGTGGATTCCCAACCCCTGCACAGGGGAGGCTCAGAGCAAAGCTGCTGGAACCCAGCACTAAGGGCATGGGTGCATGTGCATGCGTGTGGTTGTGTGTGTGCATGAGTGTATGTGCAGATGTGCACGCATGTGGCCGTGTGTACGTTTACGTGTGCGTGTGTGCGCGAATATGCATGAGCATGTGCATTGCGTGCATGTGTATGCGTGTGCTCATATACGTGCACGTGTGTGCACGCGTGCATGGGCGCGCATGTGCTTGTGTGTGCTTCTGTGCGAGCGTGTGCATCATGTGTGCGTGTGTGTGCACTCCTGTGCGTGTGGCTGTATGGGCGTGCACACACGTGGTTAGGTACGTGTATGTGTGTGTGCTCCTGTTTATGCATATGTGCGGGTGTGCGTGCATATGTGTCCGAGGACATGGGCTGCAACTCAGAAACCTGAGCGTGGGCCCTGGCCCCCTGAGGGATCCCGGCCTCCCTCCAGGATGTGGCTAGCCCAGGTCCCCACTCACTCCCTGCTGCCGCCTCGTTGCAGAGCCGGGCCCCGAGCCCCCT